TATAAAAGAATTCTTGCACTGTTAACGAATCAAAATCACTCATGTAAATTTTATGTATTCATAAAAGTACATAGATCATAAAACAAATTGTTCGATTTTAGGAATGAAGTCAATGTCAAAGACCGGGACCGGGACCGGGACTGAAAAAAAATATTTGACCGGGACCGGGACCGGGACTAAAAAAAGTGATTTTGCAGTTCCCTAACTCAGACTCCAGTACATTGCAGTTGGGATGGTTACGAGATGCTCTGCATAAGTGATTGATAAACTTTAGCAGAAAGAGTCATTATTAGATCAATAAACATACAACTTGATTTGCTCTAGTGATGATTTTACTTTTATTATGCTACTACAGACCATGGAAAAAAATCCTGAGAGATCAAAAAATTGCTTCCCAAAATTTCATATTAAATTCAAATTCAACTTTATATAGGTGGTTAGTATAGTTATTAATTAAGGTTTCATATTATGCTATACAGACGAAAAACTTCTTGTTATAATATAAAGAAATGAAAAGAAAAGAAATTCTCTAGGGACAAAAAGTTTCGGTACATACATTACAAACATAAAACAAAATATTAAAAAATCATAAGTATATAATATTCAATATTTTATACTTTTGCCATTGACTGTAATGCATTCATATATCCGCTGTGTCATTGAAAAGACTAGTTTTTCACATAAGTCTCTTTTGATTGACCAATGATTCCGTTGATTCCTTCAGAGACGAAATTTGTTTCGACTTTAATTTATCATCAATAATTGACCACAATTGCTCTATTGAATTAAAATTCAGATATTTGCCCAGTCATTTCAATACTTTGACACCTAATTCGTGTATTTTCTTTGAGTTTGTCTCAATATATGATACCGTGCGATATCATGCTGATAAAAATAGTTCTTTTCCATTTGATACAGTTGTACTGTCGGAATCAAATAACTTTCTAAAACGTTACAATAAACATCACTATTAATATTATCACTGTAAATTCGAAAATAACCAGTTCCTTTGGAAGTAATTCAACCCCAAAATTCAACACAACCACTACCTTCTATTGCCGCAACTTGCATACAATCTTCTTTCCATCGTTTATCTCATGTACGCCATATTTTAGTTTCGTTTTTACGTTTGATTACGTAAAATTTTGATTCGTCGGTGAATACTACATCGCTCCATTCATTAGCAGTCCGGTTGGAATATTCTAAACATCAATCAAGTCTAACTCTTTTATCATCTTTTGTTAAGAAATGATTTTGGAATTTTATTTCTATAGTCAAAACCATATTGATCAAGATAGTTAATAACTGTTCTTTTAGAAACTGGACTTTTTAACGAATTATTTAAGTTAAGTATTATTTTTCGTGCAGAATAACGATTACCAGTTTGTACGAAATGTTTCAACATACGGACATTTCAATCATTTAGTTTTTTGGTCTAGCACTACGTCGACGATGATAAAAGTCTTTTTTTTTCTTGAAAATGTTTTACAGCATGTTGAACAGATGATTTGGACATATTCACAATAATGCTAATTTTACGGTAAGTCATGCTAGCTTCTTTCAATGCAATACATTGAGCTCGTTTATATTTACGTTGAAGCTTTTGCGTCATATCGTTATGTTCAGTAGAGTTTTAATCAACAGATGATAAAGTTAAAACCAAGTGAGCACCCTCAATAAATTGATATAAATGTTATATAAAAACACCATATTATTAGAATGTATTGCTTGTTCAGTCAATTATATAATAGGCTACCCATCATGTGTGGAAATATTCACGAGAAAAAATAGAGACAAGTTTATTTTACAAGAGCGGAAAAGGAAAACGATTAGAAAGAAAAAATAACCCGTGTATCTAAAACGAAAGGAATAGTTAAAAATAACGGAAGAGTGAAGAAAAATTAACGACTGAAAAAAATGAACATGCTCAATCACATACAGTAACCATTTATATGAACACTTAGTTTTAGAACTATCTACCACTGCCTGAAATGTACGCTTGATCATTTTTTCACTTACATCAAGTATAAATCTTTTCTAATCAGACATTATTCGTTAAGAAACTGAAACTGTTTCAGAACCTTTTTGTTCCTGAAGAATTTTTTTTCTTTTCATTTCTTTATATTAAAACAAGAAGTTTTCCGTCTGTATAGCATCATATATGAAACCTTAATTAATAACTATACTAACTACCTATATAAAGTTTAATTCGAATGTAATACGAATTTTTGCAAAGCGATTCTTTTGTGTCTCAGAATTTTTACCACAGCCTATATATATATATATCAGCAGTCATTGTTATAATTTGAAGGAAATTTCCTGCATTTTATCGATATTCACGGATAACCACCAAAATGTCTTGATCTCAGTATTCTGGATTATCACATGTGGACTACTAATACGAAAAATATGTCATGTCGCGACATTAAAAACTTTGAATTAGTAACTGATCAAATATTTCAAAAAAGGAGTTAATCGTGTGCCAAAAAACGATCATATTTTAAACACCCACAACTGACCACATAAAATTTCGCTTATTTTGAAAAAAACAAAAGATGCACAATTAAAATAAGGTTTACTTTAAAAATTATAGAGCTTTTTCACACTACATCTTATACTACATACTTTTTTTTCCTACTCAAAAGCATGTAGAGATTAATATAAAAAATGTAAAGGATAACAATTTGTTATGCATCATCCGTCATTTAGTAATCAATTGAATATTGAATGAGTATACTGCGAAAAATCCAAGAATTCAATTATTTAATACATTTGTGTAACGCGTCAGATTATATCTCGTAGCTTTCATTCGAATTTTAACTTTTTCTAATTCTTTTGCAGTAAGTTGATGTTCATATGCAAATGAATAAAATTCATCTCGATTTTTGATTGTTTTTAAGTCTAGAAAAAACAGATATATAATCAAGAAAGTTAGTATAATGTCAACATAATATTTGTTTTCGTCTGTTTTTTTTTCTTATTTCTGTTCTTTTTTAAATAATTGTTATTATTGTCTGAATATTTATTTGCCAAAATAATCATATGCAGCAAATCAATGAAGTGATTTATTTCCACAAACAACGAAATTTCTTTTCTGCCCAGTACATAGAAAATCAAAAAAAAAATTCAATCTTCTATTTAACATTATCTAGTTTTTCACTTTTATCACAAGAGAAACTTTCATAATATGTGAGCCACTATTCTAGAGAGAACTTATGTTAAATGAATTGATGCAACAATCAGCATTCGAACAAAAATTCACTCTTTCAAGTGAATAAATGAGATCATATTTGTTTCGACAGAGTAGTTATGCTAATCTTGCACATTCCTGTCTATTTAAAGCATTTTTATGTTTTCGTATTAATAACATATGAAAACTAAACTATTATTCATATGTAAATCTGCTCTGTCATTTATTTTATTTGAATGATGCACTAGAATGAACGAGTAATTAAATTTAGAAATGAAAGATCTTTACATTTGATCAAGATATAAATTTATATCATGGCAAAAATCATATATTACACGTCTAATGTCGTAATTAATTGTATTGATTGATTTTCTAAAATAGTTATAAGAAACATCGGTATTTGATACAACGATTTTCTCCAAATCGAAATTAATTGTCGAGTTTCTTTTGCAAGCAGTGTTGATTTTTCAGTTTTTTGAAAATGAATGTTTTCGAAAATCAAATTGAATTTCTACAATTTAGAAAATCTAGCATTTTCTGATTACTAGAAATTCAAAGAAAGAATGATAAAAGTTTGAAAATGCTTGAGCTTATTTAATATCTATTTTATAGAAAATAGAATTTTACAAAATTTACAGTGAAACATATAATATTGTACATATGAGGTTTAGAACAATAAAAAGCCTTACAGGCTCATAATTGAACACACCGAAGTTACAATTTAAGCTCGACATTCTTCTTTAATCCTGCGACTTCACGAAGTCTTGCTTTACCCGCCTTGGATACGTTGCAGCCACACACGCAAAGTACATTTAATGGTCGATTTCGATTGATCATATCAATGAGAAAATCGACACTCGAATCGGTCACTAACTTGTTGAAGTCGAGAGATAGCCTTCTGAGACTTATGTTGTGATGAACCAGTACATTGGCTAACAGTTGCACACCTCGATCACTTATTTCATTCCTAGGCAACCACAGTTCAACTAGTGTTTTATTTGTCTTAAGCATATCAGCTAGATGCGCAACACCATCGTCGGTAATACCATTCCAGCCAAGGCTAAGCGCTTTAAGGGTAGAGTTATTCGTCGCGAGTACTTGTGCAAGATAACAAACACCTTCGTCAGCCATACGATTATCGAAGATATATAGTCCCTCTAGTGCTGTATTATTGTGCAACCCTTCGGCTAGGATTGAAACACCTTGTGATGTAATGTTGTTGTCTGATAAATGAAGCATTGTGCACTGCTTATCGATTACGGCTTGTTGAACCACAATCGGGATGTCTTGATCCGTCAACAATTGTCGATCTAAATTTATCGATGAGTGAGGCTCACATTTGGCAATCCTTTTTTCGAGTTTCAAATTCTGATAGATCTCAGGTACTCTCGGTAATAATTTAGCAATGACTCGTGACATGCTCGTGGTAGACAATTTTTTTTTTACCGGTTCACTTGCTGGTGGCATAACGAGTGGAATGCGATGACCCGGCAAAGGTTCTAAGAAAGGATGTAATGGCTCGACTTCTTTAAGTTGAATAATATGAAAGTTAGAACCCTGATCAAGACTGGCGACAACTTCGAGCTGAATACCAGGTAAAAGCAACACTTCACTTTCGTTTTCAACGGTTGAATATTGATGAATGTCCTTTCCACTGTAACATTTGATAGTGAACAGAGTTCTTGCACCTTTTTTTCCAAAAATAGTTGCCGTCTCTAAAGTATCAATGTTTTCTGTACATGACGAGAATGCCCACCAAATGAGTGTCTTGCCTTGAGGATACAGATGACTCATATTTTGCCGTATTCCTCTGTAGACGGTGCGTTCGCCTATTGGTGGAAGATGAGTGAGAGCAGTGAGTAGAAGTTTGAGATAGAGAAACCAAGAACTTAATTTCGTTCTATCTTCCTTGCGTAAAGTTGAATTGAGAATAAAATAAAGTGAATCAGTGGAGGGTTCCCATTCTGCAGTATAGAGCATAATTGAAGCTGCCTCATCGGGTGAGAGATTATTTGCTGGATTTTTACAACGTTGTTTCATAATATTTGCTCTTCGTCGCACATCACGCACCAGTAGAACAACCGGTACAATAGCTTCTTCAAGTGAGACCAACGGCACTTTTTCATATCCCTTTATGGGTATTAACATCGTGCGTAATTCTACAGAAATATCCGAAAAGCGAGCACTGAGGGTTTCTTGAGTGATATTTTCTGAAGCCATTTTGAAGATGTTACTCTTGAGTTTCTGAATGTTGATTGCGTGTGTTCATCTTTAAAAAGAAAACCAAGTGTAGTCGAGAAGTAACTAATTCAATGCACTAAAACCTCTCTAATATGAACACTAGTGAATTTGTTTTCGAGTATTTTTCAAATGTGATGGTTCACTGTGAATGATTATGATAGGATGCAGCAACTAAATTATTGATACCTCAATAGATAAATGTATGGTGAAACAGTGAAGAACGAAGTCATTCAATGTATCCACTATAAATGACATATAACGAGATTATATTCACTATTTCAAATCAAAACTCGAGCTTCTTTCGAATTAACATGCAATGTGTGCTACATAAGAGTGAATGTTTGTTCGACTCCTTACTCTTACTTACCTTGGTAGTAAGTGTTTAGAGGAAGACAGGGTGTGATTATTTATGATTGAATTTTTATCGATACTTCTTTCCAATTATAGAAAAAAAGAACGGGCGAAACGTGAATTGGTTTAATTTATTTCGTTTCTCTGTTCTAATTATAGTATTTGAAACGCAAAAAGCAATAGCAAAATGTTTTTTTCTAGGGGAAGTGAATAATATAGAAAAATGAAATTGCGCAGTACGAATAGGCTGTTACAACACAGCAATTTCGGATGCTCGTCATCACTGTCGAGAAAATCGAATCAGCAGAAGAAATAAAGATGACACTATCGACTCTATGTCGACTGCATTGAGTTTCGTTTATATATAAAAAGATGGCGCAATATACATATAGCAGACAATTTTGAAATCTAGTAGAGATTGGAATAGAATTTTTGTAACTCTCTAGTAAGAAATATTATTAACGTATTAAAATAGAAACATCTTTTATACACAATGAGTACGTAGGTTTTTTTGCAATGAGAATAACTTTGCTTTATAATTGTTTACTGATAATGGGCACCTAGAAATATTGAATGATTAGTTAAATTTGGTTGAAGAATAAATATTTTATTTTTACAGTGAGCAGATATTTTATTTTATTTTTTTCTATAAAGAATATAAGCTTTTATGATTATATTTTTCTGATAATGGGAACATGGCGGCATTGAATGGTTGATGAATTTTCAAGAACTAGTGAATAGATTTTTTCCAGACCATTCATGAAAAAAACATTTCCATTCAGGATTCTCATGGTATACTGTCTCATAGAAAAATGTCGTTTCATTCGACCTATCAATAGCAAATGCACTTCACATTATCGACATCTATAGGTAAAAGTCGGGTAATAAAAAAATGAAAAGAATTGTGATCTATTCTAAACCAGCACAACATAAGAAACAACGTAACGTTAATCTTGTTTGGGACAAATGTCCTGTTTTTCAAATAGTCATCGTCGAGAAGGTTGTTCTTATGGTAACGAAGGCGACTAGATTTAAATAATGGTTAAATCATAATTGTTTACATTAGATATCAGATAGTTCCTACATATTCTTCTCGAAAAAAAGGAAATAAATTGTATTCAAACCGTCCATATGTTATCGACTACTTAATTCTTGTCTTCAAAGTTTTCTGACTAAAATATGAACTTTTACAAATGATTTTTCATGCATCGTTGAGTCATATTTCATTCACGTTCATCACATGAATTCGTTTTATTATAAATTGAATTAGAAATATCAAAGATAAAAAATAATTAAAAAAATACGACAGAAAAACAATAAGAAAAATGTAAAGCAAAGTGAAAAACCACTAGTTTTGCATACTTTTGTTTGATACCCTTTGAATTTGTTTCTAATTCTTATGCATTCCAAATACGAAGAATGAAAGAAAAAACGAAGAAGTTTAAGACTTTCACTTTTAATGTGTATAATTTTAAAAAGAGACCAAGAAATATAGCATATCAAATCGAGTGAAGATGATCTTAAGCAAAAAAGAGTGGTTATCTTCTTCAAAAATAGATGTGTCGATAAGATTATGCTGCATTTGATTACTGTGCGAATCATCAACATATGGACAATCTTGAACCATTAATGGTCCTACAAAAACCTAGTTTTATCCAAAACCGTTCACTCCTCAACCCTTTATTCTACTCTTAACCTCTTATCCTATTCTTAGTCACTTATTCGATAACTATTCTCTTATACTAACTTTAATTCCTTATTCTATAGCTAACTACTTATTATAATTCGATTATCCTATTTTCTATCTGACCTGTGTGACAAACTCTGTCTTCTTCTTGTCAACGTCAGATAACAGTTTTGAAAGTATCCTAACTTGAGGTCAAATTTGATGAAGAAGTGGTGTTTTACGAGGCAATTCTGCCGTTCTTCTTCGGCGGGCCGTGGATAGGCATCCATTTTTGTGAAGGCGTTCAGGTCACGAAAATCGACGAGGTATTAATAGGTACCGTCTAGTTTCTTCTCAAAAATTACCCGAGTCGTCTATAATGGCATTAACTGTTGAACTATGTGGTCGTGAAGCAATTTGATAATCCTGTCTGTGCAGCACCTCTGCCGGCTGGGGTATGTTATGGAATAGAAGAACACTTATAGGTGGAGTAACTATGAAGAATGCCAAGGAATTCGAGTCGATAATGTGCTCGGTCATTTTGTCGTTTACCATGGCGACTTGATCCGGCTATTGTGGAAATTCACTTCCAATATTTGTCATACTGATTTGCTCTTTTCGGTTATCCAATAGGCTATGTGTATATACGGTCGGACATGAAGTGGCTTGAGCCCAATCTTGTTTCCTTCGTCATGTGATGAAGAAGAACAAAGCAGAGTTTCCATAGTTAGCATCGCATAAACATGTGCTTCCGTAATATGGACAATAATTTCAGTATGGCCAATTATCGATCAACATCACATGAAAAGGATTTGAACGAAAAAATAAAAAAAAACATTTGAATCTGATATTTGAAAGAATACTAAAGATAGTCTGTGAAATATATGTTGCAGGCTCTCAAATACTCGGATGTCAAAATAATACTAGAGATTTGTGTTGTTTTAATGAACTTCGAACAGAAACTGATCCAATCATGGTACAAAAATATAGAATTGTTTGTTTTCTTATACTGCTTTAACTTGATATAAAACCAAGTATTCTTTATATGATTTTGATGTAATAATGTAAGACATGCAACGAAAAAATAGAAAAGGTGCTTATAATAATCGGAGATCAGAGCAAAACAGGTTTTTACCATAATAATTCAACATTTTAATCTCAAAAACCTTGTATATTGACTCGTCGAGAAAAAGGATGAAACTCTGTAACGGCGATAGTTTTAGGTTTGTATTCGATGCAATTATTTTCATTAAAAAAATAACTTGACACTCTGCAAGCTTGTTGATAATCTCATAACGCTTTTTGCAGAGCGTTAAATAGTACGCCGTTTTATTCCATACTGAAACGCAAATTTATTTGTCTTTCAAGAAAAAGAGACTTCATTTTCAAATTCAATAATGTCGGGCAGTTTGTGAATAACTCAGCTCTAGTCGAACTAAAATGTGTGAAAGTTTTGGTTATGCTTCCTGTCTGTGATAAAAAATTGCAGATTGCTAATGTTTGTTATAACAGAGACAGCTCATAGAGGATTAAAAGTAGCACAATTTCCTAGCGGTTGGAGGTACCGATTCATAGGCTTTGTTAACTTTTGAAAGACTTCTGTAAACAAAGCAAGAAAATACTATAGATAGTCCTGTTTTGTATTCCATTTTCACTTCTTTTCTTGATTTAGACCGAAATTAATTAACGAAAACTTTTAGGATTTGCGGTTGAAATTAATATTGGCATATCTTTTGATAGGCGAATTGCATAGCGTATTAAGTTGTAAAAAGGATGATATGATTTCATGACAAAGAAGATTGAATTTAATATACGGCATCAATTAGTTGATCAGTACTTCGAAATCGAAAAACTCAACTGATGTTGACGTCATCGAATGATCAGTTCACTTTTCTGTTATTAATCGTAATTTTTGTCGAGTTTCCTATTCTTGTACATGACACATAAAATCGCTTTTGAATGAATCTTCAGCAGCAGCGATAGCTTTATTCGACTCTGATATTTTTATTCAATATTTAATAGATAAGAATTAAAAATATACATCATGTTTGAAAGTGACAGATCACACTATATACACAAACACAAACACACACGGGGTTCAGAAATGAGTGACCATAGTATTGGGCGAGTTGGACACTATAAACGTCAGTTCATGATCATCTATAAAATATCCAGGTGGCAACGATGTCGGATCCATATCAATTCGTTTTGGACCGACGAACCGATAACGAGCGGAAGCCATCCAATAGATTAATGCAATCAATGCAACCCCACCAATAATTACGATGGCATAGTTCATATTATCTTTTGTCACCGGATATTCAGTAGGAAAACACATAAGAATTGATGTAATAAAAAGCCATATCGATGAGATAATTCCAATCGGAATACTGAATCGTCCTAAATTAAATTCGCTCACAGGAAATGTTTTTCGAGAAGCTGTACAACGAAAAAAAATAGGCATAAAATATGATATTTGAAAGCCAAGTGTAGTAGTGGCAATGAGAGCAAGAAAGGCTGTAGTTGATCTTAATTGAAGTAGTTGAAGAAGAGAATCAATGATGAACACGAAGAGAACATTAGCAAGGGGTGTTTTAGTCGGTTCGAATATCCAACGAAGATAATTCGAACATGGAAATACATCATCACGAGCCATTGCAAAGCTAGAAATTCAACAAGTATGAAATCTTTTTGGATTGAGAATGATGGAAAAGTTCTCACCCGATTCGACTTGTCACTGTAATGGATGACATGCCAGCAAAATAAAGATTAATAAGGAGTAGTATAGTAAGTGCAAGTGCGCCTTGATGTGGTAAAGCTGATTTATAGGTAGCTACGATGAGACTAACGTTTTTTTTATCACCACTATTCGCATCCATAAATGTGGACACATTCGGAATGACAAAGAGAAGAGCGAGTAAATAGATAATACCAACAAGTGCACTACATACACATGTAGCAACTATGCCTTTGGGTGCTGTAAATCGAAGAAGACCACAATATATTTGGTGCAAAATAAATGAAAAAACAATGTCGAGCGTTTTTTTAAAAGTATTATGGATACCTTAGATACTTGAGTTTTTCTTGATAATAAAGGACAAGTCTCTACTTCAAAATTTATTTTGATAGAACTTTTCACAAATTGATAATTCGGAAGAAAGCGTTGGAAAACTACAGCCATCTAAAAGACGCTCTTGATATATACATATGTTGCTAAAATATAGAAAAATTCCCAAACCATTTTTCACGATGAACTAGACACTTGGGCTTTTCTCATAAACAAGAGCAAAGTCCCTAATTCAAGATGCGTTTTAAACAAATTTTTAGTACGCTTATTATATGAGAGAAAATGATAAACAGCTGAAGTCGTTCAAAATTCTTTTTCTCACATGTGCTCTGTATTACATTGAAAAAATATTATCTAACTAAGTAAAACCTTCATTCCTTCGCTAAAGTCACATTCTGAAAGTGTACTCTATAAGACGAGATAAACATGAACTGTTTCGATCAGTTTATGGCAAGACACTGAAACTTATACTATAATGTACATGTCATAGAGAATCGAAAATAAGTCGTTGCATCAGAATTCAAACAGTTTTTATATACAGAGTTCTCCAAATCAGATCGTATATAATCCATCTTGAAGAGCCTCACGAATTATGTACGCAGTAAAAAAGCTTTCAGCACAATCCCTGTAGGATTAAAATGTGAAACAAAATGGATAAACTACCAAAGTGAACTAGAACCTTTCGTCGCAGTGGTCACTGTCTTTCGAAGGAAATGGCTGAGTCCACATTTTTCATAGTATAATTCAACACTTCTTTCAGATCATATTTCACAAAATGAGAGTCTCTCAGTCTTCCATTCAAAAGATATGAACTTGACATGTTTTAATCGTTTATGAAACCCAAAAAATGCACGAAGTCATGGAGTATACCTTTTTCAAGACCACAAAAACTAAAATTAATTCCAATTGTGTATTCTTGTTTCTATTGATCTTGCGTATCTACTCCTATAGCGTTTGTTAGTATTCGATGGCCTAAAAAAAATGGCTTCTTAGAAATAGCTAAACATAGCCCGAAAAAACCGATCAGAAAAAAATCTGTTCAGTTGAATGCATACGGCCAGTCAGGTAGTGAGTTTTTCAGAGCAAACTTCCCTCTATCAAATCCTATATTTACTACGTTTGGATTTTTGATAAATAGCTGAGATAATTATAATCGTAAATATACTATTTCTGACCAGTTTATTGTGCACTCAGCTTTCATATAATACATGTCATTTTATGGAGAAATACTTACTCTACAAATATGATATGTTTGCAAATTCTTTATTATTGGTTAATGAAAAATAATCTTGTCACAATAATTTAAATCTAGATGAAATCTTGTCTTGATCCTATTTTTACTTTCTGAAATTCACTCATACTTCTTTTCTATGTGTTACCTGCACGACGAGCACCCCGAGTCTCTTCGGCCAAATGAGCACCGGCTACAAAACAAAAAAAAAAGAATCATATTCATATGTTCTTTCGCTTCGTCTATCTATATTATATACCTTCATAGCCAGAGAATGAAAAAATCATTGAAAGTATTCCAATGCAGCAAACATAAGCAAATGGAAATCCAGTACCATTATAGACCGATGTAAAAACGTCCTTAGCAGTGGCTCGTTCTGGAGCTATGACAAGGAGAACAATCACGATGCTGATTGCAGTACTAATTTGGAAAACTGCAGCTATATTATTCATCCATCCTTGTTGATCGATTCGTAATGCATTTTGAATTGTCCATATTAATGTAATTGCTATGCCAATACCTACTTGTCCTCCGATACTCAATGATGATTTTCCATTGAGCATGAGTGTATCATTCACAATGATTGCAAAACCAGATGAAAATGCGGCATCAGCTTTGTTTTTATATAGAAAATAAGATATGTTTAAGAAAATTTTTTTTTTATTACTACCTGCAGCATTAGCGGCGAAATTGAACCACCCACAGATGAAGGAAGCCAATGGAGCATGCTGAGAGGATACAAGCTTAGCGGACCTGTATTTGAAATAATTAATCAATAGAAAAAATAATATATATACATCCATACCAATGATAGACTGAGCCCGCGGTCGGATAGACCGAACATATTTCAGCTAATGAAAGACTGACGAGAATAGTAAAGAAAGATCCGAGTATCCAAGACCATATAGCCACACCTGAACCTCCTGTATTTAATGTGTAAGCGAAACCGATCGAAATTGATGCGAATACATTGACGGCTGTGAAACAAAAGGTAAATGACATAATTGAAGAAAAACCACGATAGAGCTCTTGCGTATAGCCCATTTCACCAAGAATACGCTCATCTGAATGTTCTTCTTCTAGTTGTTTGTTTTTTCTGAGATTTTTGTTCTCCATGACCAAAATAGTAAATAGACGTGAAGGTATATCTAAAAAATTTAATAAAAAATTTGTTTTCTTTGTTTTCAAAAAAAAATTCAATGTACTTGTTGTTAAGTGTTTTCAAATGATATTGATAATCTAGAAAACCTTCGATTCAAATTAACGTAGCCAATATATTGAAAAAAATGAAACAAATATCATTCATATTTTTCTCTTTCAAATTGATATTGATTGCGAATTATAGCTCCTCACCTTTAATAACTTTTACAAAAATGCCCTGCGTATACAATCACCGTGTTTGATAACTCTTGAAACCTTGGCAAAAGTGATTTACAAAGTTAACAAAAAACCTGCTTTTTTCGTCCTTCAAATTAATCTTTTGAGCCTTTTAAAAATTGCCTCAATATTCTTGAACAAAAAATAGATGAGAAATTTCTGAGCCGATATCCACCAAAAGCACAAAATTCTGTCTCTAATCCAAATTTTCTTCACTCATCCAAAAACACTTTCAAGCGAGCTAAAACTCAATACATAGTGTGTTCTGAAACTTCCGACCTGTCAGTTACATAGTAGACACTTAGTGGTGACTAAACATTTGTCATAACCAAGACCATTGGGAAATAAAACTCTTGAAATCTCTGAAAAATTGCAGACCTGTAATAAGTTAGTCGAAACGAAGGGAACTGTGGATTCACAAATCGGCCCTATTTGAAAATCACTTCAGAAATGGGTTTCACCTTAGAATTATTACTTCTTCCTTTTATACTATACCACTCTCTATTCCCATGGACCAACGACATGTATTTTTCATAATGTATTCGACGAGAATAGTCAGTCAACTTGGTCACATCATATTTCTGCTTCAAATAGCATGATGCAATGCCTATGATCATCACCTAACTTCTTTGCGAAGACGCCATGCTTTTACGGTGGAAAGAGCTCATTGAGATCTACAAAATGATGCTAAAACATGTACGAAAATAGGCTGTTCTGGAAACTTTTCAAAGACCGTGCTGTAAGCATCCCATGAAAAGTGCGTAGACTGCACGGATCTATCGATATGATCTCCAACATTCATCATAGAACCATCACCATTTTTCCATCGTAGATTCAGCTCATTGAGCGTTACAAAATGGTGATAAAACATGTGCGAAAAATGCTGTTCTCCAAACATTTCGAAAGCTCGAATCAAAAGAGCTAGGTATATGTGAAGTGATAGTCTAGTTTGCTGATGCTATCCGAATAACTTTTGTAACGAACAAACTTCTCTATCAAAGTGGAGAAAGTAATTAGATGACATGACAGAGATAATGATAAAGAGAGTTTTATGTGCAAGATGTTGATCTAGGTATTGAATTTTATTTATATGTCGAAGGTTTATTATGTATGCATTCTCTTTAATCGAGCAGAAAAACATGACAGTGGTAGATCAAAGACATGATTAGTGTTTTCAGTTGGACTAACAAGGAAAGTTTTCCAAGTGATCTATCGCTTCTAAATCAGGACTATGTGTATTATTTAAGCCATCATGAGTCACGAATACTCTGAAAAGAGTTCGAACTCATTGCTTATTACTGCCGAGATACAGTATTTTTACGGTATTTTCCTAAGCGCAGTGTCATGGTCCCTCTCAGGAATGTCAGAAAAACTTTGTTTGAAATTTCGACTTGAAACTTTGCATAGTGACACGTCACAGTCAGAATAGTTTATTGTGAAAGTTTCAGATCTTCTGATTGCTCCTATTCTGAAATAAGCACGTCAGAATCTACTTGTGTGTATGAACGATTTAGAAGCATGCTTTTATTATAACTGTTTCCTAGGATATGAATAACCAAGAAATATGAAACTTTTACAGTAAACTATCCTCATTAAGGCCTGTCACTATACAGAGTTTCAAGTCAAAATTTCAAACTCAGTTTTTTTTAATGTGTCTGAAGAGAGCCATGACACTATGCTCAGAAAATACCGTAAAAATACTGTATCTCGGCACTACTAAGCTATGGGTCCGTACTCTTTGCAGAGTATTCATAATTCATTACGGCCTACATAATGCATAGAGTTTCGACTGAAAAGCGATGGATCACTTGGGGAATTTCCTCCGTACGAGGAAGAGACATGCTTGAGAGAGATTGTGGGTGTCAGTGTCGGTCAAGAAAAAACCTTAACCTACCAGTTCAGCCACAGCTACACCTCTATCGATGTCTCACCCACACTCACACCCTACTTGTTCTTTGAAACTGATGTAATCAAGTTCTTCGTAACCACTGGAGCAAAAACTTTTAACTTCGAAAGATCATCTACAGAACAATAAGGCTCTCGGAATATCATCCGTAATTAGGTGAAGGCGTTGACTTATCAAAAGAATAAACACATAATCTGAAAGTTGGCGCTTGAGTTGATAAGATTATGTGATAAAGGAAAATTTGAAGATTTGTTTAAAACATCGATTTTCTCAGGTGACGACTCGTAATATTTAGATATCTTACATATGAGTCATTTTTCAAGTACAATGTCCATCTTTTCCAGCATAATACTAATAAACTTTCAGAGGACATTGACACTAGTGCGACCATAACATAGTGTATAAATATTAGCAAGATTCTCGAAACTGTTTGCATGAAAAAAAAAGATGCTTGTATAAAAATCGATGTGACTAGTTCTCTTGCTCTATATCTAAATTATAAAAACCTTGAAATTCGAATAGCTTTTGTCTAAAACAAAAATGAGGGATCATCATGCAGATATATGAGTGAGAGTAGGAGAATTGCTTCTTCCATGCATTGTCATTTTTCATACTTGCATTCTTCGACATGTTTATAACTTTTCTTTTCGATATTTTTACATTCGACCAAAGTAGGGTGAATCATTAATTTAACGATGAGAGTGATAATTTGGCCTGAACATGGCAGATTTTATTAACTTACAATACAAACGCTTCCACTGTTAAATGCATAAGGTTTTTTTGCTTAATGTTGGTCGGATGTATGACGAATATATCATTCAAAGGAAGTGACTATTCTTTTCTCCTACCTGACGATTGTTTACATGTAGAAAAAGGACACTTTTTCTTTTGCAACGTGGACAGAATGCGCAAAGAAGACACGTCACACTATCGCTCTTACTGTTTTTCTTTGCAATATTGGTTTTCTGTATCGTTTATTTTTACTCTTTCTTTGCGTTATCGTCTCCTTGTAATGAACAAATGTGCGTTGATACTGTGAAACAGTTACATAGCGATTGCATTCATATGTTGACATGAGTTAATTTTCTTCTTTTATTTTCTTTATTTTTAATATAATTTGATATTCATGATTTATTGAAAATCAGTGACGTTTCGTATTTTGACGATATACTTCGTCATACATAAATAAATACAGTAAGGTTATGAGTGGGTGTTGGTAGCTCTTCATCGACATCCATACTCACACTTTCGAAAAAGAAAAGTTGATTTTTTTTTCAAATCGATAAAGTTCTATATATTCGTTTCTTTTTCCCTATACATTTGAATTGATGCGCTGAAAAGATAACATTATAATACTTTTCTTACATGCGAATGTCATTTAGTGAAATGATGTTGATTAGTTCACTTTTTTCGTTGGAGAATACCTATTTTACGTTTATCTTATCAATTTAATGCAAAATTAGAAAAGAAAAATATTCGTTGAAATATCATTACTAAGTAGTAGTAAAATAAACGAAAAAAGAAAACATTATTTTTTCTAATTTATAATATTTCTTTTTTCATTCTATTTAGATCAATATCAATCATTGGGCAACAGTGAAAAAGATAAAATGAAATGATATACGAATTTTGAAGAGTGGTGGCAGAGTTCTCACAAGCAGAATTTAAGAATTCTATATTGTGGATACATTTATCACTATTTACATATGCAATCTCTTTATATAATAAAATTCTTATAATAAAATAGTAAAAAGTAATAATTCTATTACCAATTTGGTTCAATACGCAAGAATAGTGTTCCATCACATATACTTATCCTTGCTTTGAAATCAAAATTCTAAGCAGAATTTTGTTTTCCCAGCAGAATTGTGTTAGAATTCTGTTGGCCTAGCAGAATTGTGTTCCTTTATATGCACTTATCTCTGTTTTCATATCTACTTATCTTCTCTTTGAAATCGAAATTCTGCTTAGAATTTTGTATTTCCAGTAGAATTGTATTAGAATTCTGTTGTCCTGGCAAAGTTGTATGTCTTCATATACACTTATCTCTGCTTCGATATGAAAATTCTGCTTAGAATTTTGTTTTCCCAATAGAATTGTGTTAGAATTCTGATTTCTTATCAGAATTGTTTTTCATCATGTACGCTTATATATGTATCTCAGAAGTTGTGTTCATATAAGACGTGGTTAATAAGGTATCTGATATATATAAGAACTATCGAAATAAATAGTTCTGCTATATCATCAGAATTCTGGCAGAGTTCTGATTTTATAAACTAG